TTGCTAAAATACATAATAAACAAAATCGGGTCTTAGCCCAAGAATAGTTAAAAAAATACACATGATTCCCCTTTATGAGGATGAAATTGTTGAGCTATCTTCCATTTGTCTGCGTGATATTGATGAAGACGCATAGTATAGTAAAGATATGTTGACGAAGATAATATTCTAAAAATCAGAATCGCATTAGATAATATTTCTCTGGCTAAAAGAATATTTATAGCCAATATGAATAACAAACCTGTAAAATAAGCAAAGTCTTTACAAAATTTGCCAATTCATATTCTTTCATAGGACATACAGGGATCTCGGTCGAGTGTAAATGATAATAACGATATATCTCATCCTCACCTCTTGTAATAACATTTAAATGTATTTTCTGCCTTACAAAGTTCTGTATTATTAAAAAAAATCTCATGAAATATGAATCATGAAAAATATAAGGAAATTATTTTACTGGCAACCTGGATTCCAATGATCCCAAATTGCTCCTTCTTCAGTTTACATCCTTTTCGAGCCCAGTATAATCCATCATTAATCTTTTGCCATAATTTTATCATGTCATCCAATTCTTTTCATTTAGTACAAGACAACCGTGAGCATTCGATAAACATAAGTTTATAAACTTTCCTATTATATTTAAACTCAAACATCATGTCTGGTCGTTTTCCCATTTGACTATTGCCCTTTCTATCAGCACTGGCAATACTTTGTCGTTCTGATATACTAATGAATGCAGTCTTTCCAAAAAGAAGGTTTTTTAAAGTAGATCAGATTGCTGGTATAATTACATTTGTTACATAAGTGCCTTCATTAAGCGAATCTTCAAAATCTGGTCCAAATGTCAGATTGTTTCAGATATCACTCCTATTAATAATGAATTAGTGATATATACATAATAATATTTTTCCTTATTATTACTTACAATGTATCAAGAATATTAGTCGTAATTCCAGCGAGTATCTTTACTGACTTTTTCTAAGAACTATTGTGCTTTAGTTTATCAGGTAAACTTTCTGTTCAATGTTCATTGAAGTTTGCTATAAATCTTCTATATGTTTCTCGAATTATTGCTAAATTTGGAGGTATCATTCGACGTGACAGTTTCTAGTAAAGAGAGCTGAATTAGAAACTTGATTGTTATAATTCTCAAAATTATAAAGTACTTACTAAGAAAGTA